CATAAGTTGAGCGAGCTGAGAGGTTATGTTTGGCAGAATCACGCTGTCTACTGGATTTTTCAACCAACTGTCTTCAACCTTGATTTGTCTGCTCAATAAGTTCAGCCACGGTAGCCCCCTGGTAAGTGTCCAAATGAAGGTCACGCATTCGAGAAGTTTCTAATGTGGAGTTCTAAGGTATGAAGCCGAGCTGCTCCTACGGATTCGGAACGAAATACTCCAGATCTAGACTGACTATTCGCTCGGATAGCGTAATGTGTGAGGCCAATCTACACTGCTTAGTCAGCCACTCTGTCACCTCCTGATTTTGCTCAATGGCAGTGGGTACAATTCAGTCCCTTGCATTGGATGGAATTAGTAGCACTGTATAGTATTGCAGTGGAAGAAAACGTGACGAAACAGCCGGGAACGCCCGAACTTCAATTAGGAAGGACAAGCATATGTCTAAGATAGATATTCCTCGGTCAGCTGTGAATGCGCAAAAATCACGGCGATTGCGACGGGAGCGTCAAAAAGCACAATTTCTCATAAACTTTCCATTCTAATAGAAACCCGGGGGAGAGTAAAAACACCATTCATCGCAGGTGGTTAGTGAATGCAACCGATGTGACCGTGGTAAATTGCTGACCGAGGCCGCCATTTTTGGACGTGTGGGCTGCGGTGGGAAAGGCGGTTGGCATTTGAGAGACAAATTGTGCACAAACCTCCGGTTCCTGTACCTTGCCATGTGTGGGGTGGGCTGGTTTGCGGCTGCAGTAGCCTCTATTCTATTCGCTACACTATTCCATTCTATTCTCAACGCTATTCAGCCGTCGCTACGCCTGCATGAAGCTAGCTAAGGATCCAAGCGAAGACTTCATCACCTATGCTGGACGAGTCAACCGCGAGTGTGCCAAGTTCAAGCTATCCGAAGTGCGACGACAACCAGTTCAAGTGTCTCATTTTCGTGAGCGGATTACAATCGAGCGACGACGCCTTCATACGACTCAAGCTGCTGGACAAAATCGAAGCCGACTCAAAGTGCACGGTTCAATCTCTCACAGAAGGAGTGCAAGCGGCTCACAAATCTCAAGCAGGAACAAAAATGAGACTTTTGAACTAGTTGTCGCCGCACTCGGATAGCTTGAACTTGGCACACTCGCGGTTGACTCGTCCAGCATAGGTTATGAAGTCTTCGCTTGGAGCCTTAGCTAGCTTCATGCAGGCGTAGCGACGGCTGAATAGCGTGGTGAATAGAATGGAATAGTGTAGCGAACAGAAT